TGATCTTTCTTTAGGATAATATGCCTACTAATACAAAACATCTTAAGCAGATGAATCTATATTTTAGTTGTTGTTCCAGTAATAAAGCGAATTTCAGTCGATGAAATCCTACAGAAATAAGCTGGATAATCGATTAGGCGCTTGCATAATTGGATGCTTGCTAACGATAGCAACAGTGCTCACCATATACGGTCTGTTCCATGAGACCGTAAACGATCATCTGGTTGAGTACATCACTGGAACAAAGCAGATCATTGTTCAATCGCTACCTCTACCAACAACACGAGCAACTACGTTGGTGCCTCGTAGCGCAGAAGCACTGCTGGTGGAGGGTTTGTGAATGTTTTGTAAACTTTTTGTTGTTTTCATCAAAAAAAGAATTTTTTAAAGTTTTTACCTTAAATTTTAATTTATTCGTATATTCATCGTTTTATTCCATGATATTGTCATGTTTCGGTATCATATTGAAACACTCCCAAAATTGGTGATCAATTGTCACTGATTATTGAGAGATCTCATTGGGTACCCGGTCAATCCGTCTGAAGACATTTAGCCCAACGACAGTTTGCCTAAAGTCANCAGTTTGCCTAAAGAACAGTTTGCCTATTAGGCGAAATATCCATTAAAAACCGTAAGTTAGGCAAACTGTCCGCTAAGCAATGTGTCTTTAGTCAAACTTTCATCAGACTAAATGTCTTTAGACAGATTGACCAGTCACGATCTCATTGTAATCATTAAATACGCATTCTGTAAAAATTGATATTGTGCAGGATTTGCAAGCAATTTTCAACTGAAAACTATCTTAAGGATGTACGGTTTTGAACCTTCTGGCAGAGTTTGTGAGAATGAAGCCTTTCAAATAATTTAGCAAGGAATTCAACTTTAAGTCTCTAATGACTAATTGATATGTCAAGCAGCCTTTCAACTGCTTCTGCCAGAGAATATGACGGTGCATTATAGCATATCTACAGAATTTGTTTTGTAGAGTTGCTAGAAGGAGAAGGTAATGAAAGTATCATATACAAAACACAACCTTTGCTGGAGCCAGACACGTGTTTAGGATCCGAGAATGTGGATCAAGTGAGGTGTTTAACGGTGGCTGAACTCGATGAGGACTACGAGCAATTGCAAGGAGTCCGCTTTCATATTCTTTATTCAGTCTATTCTCCTTATCTCATTATCTGTTAAGACTACATCTATATTGTAATATCTGTGATTCGGAATTTTTTGAAATAATCCTTCAAAATTATGTGATGGAATATGTCCGGATAGGCTCTGAAACTGATATCCGGAATACATCCGGATATTTGGAATATCCGGTAATGGTAGAAGTTTCTTCCGATATAATCAGTTGCTGAGTTTGGAAACCGATAATAGGCCATACTCGAAGAATACGTTCCAGTCTGAACAGAGTCTGTAACATTTTTGAGATGAAGAAGAAATTAATGATTTATTTCAGTCACATATAATGCTGTGGAATCTAGTGGCACTGAACATAATAATCGCATTATTTTTAATCCCATTAACGTGTATTTTCTGCAATGAACCAATGCGAAGCAACCGCAATTACAAGCTCTTCTACAGGGTATTTATCTTATCATTTTCTATTATCACACTATAATCTTATCATATTTTACTATCAGAATCTGTTGCGATCACTATTAGAACAGTTGAAAATCCTTATGAATTTCGAAAAATTTTCATATTCCCATCCGGAATTCCGATTATCCCAGTCGAATATCTCAAAGATATAATAGAGCAGAAAGCAATCTTTTATCTTATAGTTAGTTTATTACAATTACAGTTTGAAACGGAATGATATAATATTTCGAATCAGTTTCTA